ACGCCGCCAACGTAGACCTCAATAATAAAAATTATTTTAAAAATTATTAAAAAAGAAGTAATAATAAAATGTTGACATTTTTCATATGCATGTATGTACGGTATATTAAGATAATTATTATTTTGTATACATTATTTCTAAAAAAAAAGTCTATACGACGACTAGGCGCTCTTTTGGACCCCGGCGTCTGGCGTCGCGTCGCCGTATAGTAGCGTCGTTGCGTCGCGTTTAGGGATTTCTAAAGAACAACTCGACTTGTTATTTAGATTTGCACATTAGTTTGTGTACTCTGGGTATAAAGTGTATCTCCTCTCGAAATCCATTGTTTATTTGTGAATTGTTCATCCGTAAATAGGTAAGTTTATGTTAGGTGTTATATTTACATTAAATTTATGAAATTAAAAAATAACCTGTAGTTGTCACCTAAAAATGTCGAAAAAACTTTCCGGATATCAAAATCGAAAACGCAAAGCGACCAGAGAATTGGAGTTGGAAAAACAAAGAGACGATATAAAGAAATATTTGATGACAAAAAATGAAGTTTTACCAGTTCCTTCGAATGAAAATCTACGTGAAGATCAACTACCGGCATCTCAAAGCCATTCTGCAGACAAAAGCGCACAACATACTAAATCTCCTGAACCTGAAATCGAACCGCAGGGAGCATCTTCTGAAGAAACCTTATCCACATCAACAAAATTTCTGATTACTGATGATACACCAACATTAGATGTTTTGAACAATCTTCAAGATCCAGCTACATGGCCTCCAATAAATGAAAAAGTAAGAAAACTTTTAATTCAACTCGGACCGACAAAGAAACAAAACGTATTGTACCCATCTGATGATAACGGAAGAAAATTCAGCGATACATATTATTATCGTAAAATGCCAAGTTCGGAATCTGTTCCTAGAGACTGGTTAATGTACTCGGAAAAAAGCAATAGCGTATTTTGTTTTTGCTGTAAATTGTTTACCTGTCACTCATTGGAGAATATTAATACAAGCCGCCTAATTACAACTGGATATTCTAAATGGCAAAATTTGTCACAAACTTTACATAGTCATGAAACATCTTTAGCTCATTTAAACAACTTTAAACAATGGGTTCATTTAGAACGTGCGTTGAAATCAAAACGAACAATTGATCAACAACAAGAAAAATTATTTGAGTTGGAAAAACAGCACTGGCGTGCGATTTTAGAAAGATTTATTGAAATTATAAAATATTTATGTAAACAATGTCTTCCCTTGAGAGGAAAATCAGATCAATTATTTGTTAGAAATAATGGAAATTTTTTACAACTTGTACAATTACTGGCAAAATTTGATGTGACTATGTCTAGTCATCTTCAAAAAACGTTACAAAAGAAATCTGTGCATTATATGAGTAAAGATGTACAGAATGAATTAATTGCTTTATTAGCTAAAAAAATTAAAGAAAAGATTTTATTGTTAATTCAAAAGGCAAAATATTTTTCAATTATATTGGATTGTACTCCGGATATCAGTAATACTGAGCAAATGACCATTATTATAAGATTTGTGTCAACTGATGACCAAGTTCAGATTCAAGAACATTTTCTTGGTTTCATTGACATCAAAGATTCAACTGGTGAAGGTTTAACCAATTATATAATAGAAAAAATTAAAGAATTTAATTTAGACATCAGCAACTTGCGTGGCCAAGGTTATGACAATGGTGCGAACATGAAAGGGAAAAACAATGGATTACAGAGACACATCTTAAATATTAATTCCAGAGCTTACTTTACCCCTTGTTCTGCTCACTCCCTAAATTTAGTAGTCAAGGATGCCGCTAACTGCAACCACCAAACTATTACGTTTTTCGGAATTGTTCAAGAAATATATAATTTTTTTTCGGCATCAACTAAACGATGGGATATTTTGAAAAAATGTGTACCAAATTTAACATTAAAACCATTGTCCGATACTCGTTGGGAGTCTCGTGTTGAAGCTTTAAAACCATTGCGATTCCAAATTGGTGAAATTTACGACGCTTTGTTTCAAATTCAGGAGAATGAAAAAATGGATAACCAAATCAAATGTCAGGCTAGAATTTTGTGTTCCAAAATTGCCAATTTTCACTTTGTATGCTCATTAGTACTGTGGTATGATATACTTAATAGAGTAAATGTAGTTAGCAAACTCCTGCAGAAGATCGAAATGGATGTTGGAACCGCTTTAAAAGCTATAAATAATTTAACTACTTACGTAAAAAATTACCGCACTGATGAAGGTTTTCAAAATCTAATAGAAACCTCATCCGATTTAGCTACCATACTCGAAATACCTACTGACTTTCAAATCTTAGGTAACGTACGAAAAAGAAAACAAAAACGACAATTCGATTATGAACATAAGGATGAAACCCCACAAACACCAAGCGAGCTGTAATTTTAGATACAACTATAAATTCCCTAGAAGAAAGATGCGAACAGTTAACAGTTCATAATAATTATTTTAATTTTTTACATAATTTAGGAAATTTACCGAATTTAAATACAACCGATCTTAAAAAACATTGCGACGACTTAGAGCTATATCTTACAGATGGAAAAGATAAGGATATAATTTCTAGCGAATTATTTAATGAATTACTTTGTTTTAAAGACATATTCCTACCAGAATTAAATTCAATTAATACCCCTTTCAGTGCACTACGTTATATATATTTATAAAAATAATTTAGAAACATTGTATGTTAACTTAAGTATCGCTTTACGGGTTTTATTAACGCAACCGGCAACAGTTTCAAGTGGGGAACGATCGTTTTCACGGTTAAAAATTATAAAAACCTATCTTAGATCAACTTTATCACAAGAACGTCTTGTCGGACTTGCGTTGATCGCAATAGAAAGTGATGTATGTGACAAATTGATAACAACGAGATAATTGAAAATTTTGCAAGTGCTAAAGCACGAAGAGTAAACGTTTAATGATTGTTAATATCTATTTTTTTAGATGTAAAATAGCATTTGTATTTTGTATACTGTATAAAAAATGTAATAATAAATGTAGTATCTGCTATTGCTTTTTATTTTAGTATTTAATATAAGTAACACTGGAAATATGTAAATTTAAACGGTACTGAAAATTTTTTAAANTTTCTCATATCTGTCATAATAAGGGAGGGGAGGCCAATGCGTTTTCAAATGTTTACATTTTAATATCTCCTGGACCATTCAACCGATTTGAATATTTTTGGTCTTGTTTGAAAGAGCATTTCATGCTCTTTTAAAAGATATTTTCAGTAAGAGCGCTTGGTTTAAAAGAAATAAGCTAGAGGGCGTTATATGCAGCGGTTACATATTTTTGTGATTTTTGAAAGAAAGTTAAATGAAGCGGTACTATTTACTTCACAGATCCTTAATCACCTTAAAATTTGCTAAATTTTAGTGAAAACCGCATCTCGATATCGTCATCCGTTCTCGAATTATAGAAGAAAGTGTTAAAAACACGAGTGCCATCAATCGGATCCAGTTACCTCATCGAGAAAAACAAATCATATAACCATGGTAACTGTAAACATGTCATTTATTTTTGTCATTTTATTTTGAACGTTTCGAATACGATGCAATTGCTTGACAAAAATGTGCAATGCAATTACGACAAAGAAAGACATTTTTCTCTAGAAGTGTTTTTAAGATTGACTTAGTGATTACGGAAAACTGGCAACATGTATCCCATTCAGACATCTCTATGAATTCGTAAATCACATTGGTACACAATGCGATCCCAAATCCAGTCCTTTTATCACAAATGCTATGGATGCATGAAGCATCTCTCCACAAGCTGGTGTAAACTTGCATAATATGCATCCTTGGTTCGAGCAAAACCCACATTACTTTCACCCCTTTATCTAAATTATTTTATTATTGGGTAGACTAAACGACCTGACTTTTCAAGAAAAACCAATCCAGGGCCGAGACCTAAACTGTGCCTTTTTCGTCGAAACTAGATTAAATAAATGCATCGAGGTTTACGGAAGGCATTTCGAACATTAGTGAGCTATTTTTGCCAAAAACTTAAGTTATTCTAAGTGTTTTGGTTTATTTTGTTTTATTATCATTGTTGATGTTTCATTGATCCGTTGGCTTTTAAACACGCCTCAAAAGTAATTTTGAAGTAGTTGAAGCTTGGATAAAGTATGAAGGAAGGGTCTAGGTAATAACATTTTTGTACTCTGTTATTTGTTTCTTAAGGTAACTTGATCCGATTAAGATATACGAATTTTTAATATTTTCTTTTATAATTCGAGAATGGATGGAGATATCGAGATGCGGTTTTCACTAATATTTAGCAAATTTTATGGTGATTAAGGGTCTGTGAAGTAAATAGTACCGCTCCATTTAACTTTCTTTCAAAAATCACAAAAATATGTAACCGCTGCATATAACGCCCTCTAGCTTATTTCTTTTAAACCAAGCGCTCTTACTGAAAATATCTTTTAAAAGAGCATGGAATGGTCTTTCAAGCAAGACCAAAAATATTCAAATCGGTTGAATGGTCTAGGAGATATTAAAACGTAAACATTTGAAACCGCATTGGCCTCCCCGTCCCTTATTACGAAAGATATGAGAAATATTGCAAAACAAAAGCGATGCGGTATTATCCAAGCTACTAAATGATGTTGTCAAAGTTATAGCTCATCGTCTAATTTTCTGAGATAGAAAGAATTTTCAGAGATCCCTTAACGGGACACCTGTATAGTGAATAGTGATTTAGTTTTAGAGCGTCTGGTAGGTCGTGTAAAAGCTCGTGTAGATGATCTTCAAGAAAACTTAAGTACACACGTCCATTTAACTTGGGAGGGAATTCAAATGGATCGATGAAAAAATTGGCACCACATCAACATTTACTTTAAACTCGTGTTGAAAATGACATTCCCTCACAGCATGTGGATTCACAGAATCCCATAATTGATTGCTTTTCCAGATGAAAACGGCCCCGTCTTGTAAATGTCGCTACATCAGTGAACACATATTGCGGTAATAAGTTTTGAACGGGAGTATAACATGGCCGGACTTTTTCTTTTTTTACTCTACACTCTGATGATTGACTTATCCCGGTTGCAATCGGTTGCAATACTTAATCGGCGGGTACTTGCAGACCGATTTTCTGCAATTCGAACCAGGATCTCTACTTTTTCGTCGACGCTAATTTTTTTTGTCGAACATCTGTTACTTTAAGGACGAAAAGACGCCGTTTCGCCAAGGCGATTGTACAAATTCCTAAATAACTTATGATTAGGTTGCCTTCAATCTGGATATAGCTCTAAAAAAATCTTCGACCTGCTGTTCAACCATTAAAATTGGGATGAGCAAAACAACAAATTATATCTCGCATATCACTATTAGAAAACTCATTATGTCGTGGCATTTTCAAATTGGTAATAACTTTATTGTTGGTAAAGATGATAATTGCACACGGAAATTAGAACAATGTTGACAATTAACAAACAATTATCGAAACATGAGCATTTTAAAAGTAAAAATAAATTTAAACATTTAAAAATAAATAATTCGAAAACCGATAGACTTAGACAATTTAACTAAGAGTACCCTTTTTATGTAAAAATGAATGCTCTTTGTGATTTGTAGCTCTTATTAGTCGTAGCTCGACAGCCAAAAAAGTTATGATTTGATTTATCAAATGAGCAGTGTGTATCTAGCGCACTCTACGAGCAATCACAAAACAAGTTTCAAATTCGTATTTCTCATGCTCGAAAACATAAAACTACCAAATTTTATGTTAATAGTACAAAAAGCTTCAAAATTATCAAGAAATTTCAAAATAAAACTAAATCGTCATATTTTGGTGTCTAGTGTCTCCGGTATTTGGAGTTTCCATTCTTTTTAACTCACCCTGTACAGGTGGCCAAAAAATTTGTAAAGTACTACATCTCGGAAACTACTCGTTGTACACACTTGCGGTAAAAAATTTAATAACTAAAGTGACTAAGAGAAAATCCTGAAAATTATTATCAGCTAGGGGGCGCAAGCGCCATCTTTAATTAACAACTGCGGGTTTTTTCGAAATTCCGCTATATTAACATAAAAAAGGGTATATCCCTTTTAAAGCTTATATAAATTATAGTTTTTTTTTGTTAAAAGCTTTTTGCCCTATCTCTAAAAATAAACAAATGCCAATAATTTCAAAATGACTAAACGGATTATAATAAACTTGGTATCGTTGAAAAGAGCTTTTCTTGGACTACAAATCCTACCTTATTTGAAGTGATTGTAAGTTAGTACATCAGCACTACAGGGCGTTTTTTGATATTACGATAATTATTGTGAATTTTCTTAGAAAAGTTAAGTCTATTAGTTACTTTCTTTTCATGAAAAAATGAAACCTAAACAAGCTAGTGAAAACCACGCATCGATATCATGTTCCTAACCTAAAATATCGGTGAAAGAATATTTTATAAGAAAATTTAATGGATTTCGATCAGTTTTTTTATGTGCCTTTGTTTAGAAGATACTTCGCCTCACTTTGGAGATCATTCCACATTCTATTGTTTTTTAGTCCATTTAGAAGCGAAAATTTAAATCATATTGACAAAAATAAACATTATTTTAAACACATAATAATTGCAAAACTAACCACTACTAATTGCTAAAGAAATATCTCGGGCTTCTAAAAAATTGCCTTAAAAATCCTTAAATACTCAAATTGCCGTCCATCACGTTCTATCCATTGCTGGAGTCTCTCTTGCGTGGAAAAAACCGTGTCTTAAATTTCTGCTTTTGGTAGGTTGTGAATGGCATTTTGAATCCTATTTTCTATGTCTTGTCTGGTTGTAGGTTGAGTTTGAAACACTATTAACCACCCCCATAAAAAATAGTCAAACAAGTTAAATGTGGGGATGTGGCAGGCCATAGAAATAGGCTTCCTCTTCCGATTCAAATGTGCTGGACAACCGTGAAGTTGTAAGAACAAATATTGGCGTGTTTCCAGTGTCAACTAAATCGGTAATTGATTGCCCAAATTGATCAAAACCATTACATTTTCTATTAAATCTTCTTTCACCGATATTTTAGGTTAGGAATATGATATCGAGGCGCAGCTTTCACTAGCTTGTTTGGGCTTCATTTTGCTATTTTTCATGAAAAAAAGCAATACCAATAGGTTTAACTTTTCTAAGAAAACTCATAACTTCTATTGTAGTATCGAAAAACGCCCACTATATAAAGTAGGATTTATAATCCAAGAAAAGCTCTTTCCAACGTTACCAAGCTTATTAAATTCTCTTCGGCCATTTTGAAATTATTAGCATTTGTTTACAAACATTTTCGAACACCCGCCACCACTTTATTTTTAAAGATAGGGCAAAAAATTTTTAATAAAAAACTATATAATTTATCTATACTTTAAAATGCACATACTTTTTTGTTATGTTAGTACGGCAGAATTCAGAGAAAAAACACATTTTTTAATTCAAGGTGGCGGTTGCGCCCCCTAGTGATCATCTTTGAATCTTGAAAATAAATCTCTACAAGGAGTAGTTTCCGAGATACAGTACTTTGCACGGTTATTTGGCCACCCTGTACAACAAACTAATGCTGAATAACAGTTAAAACTAGAAGTAACACTAGACCGAGAACTAGAAAGTTGCTCAAGACGGCTAAACCCGAATGTTTCTAGTTCTAGGTCTAGTGTTACTTCTAGTTTTAGTTCAATGAAAACATACAACAATCTAGCGCTGAATAACAACTAACACTAGTACTAGAAGTAACACCAAACCTAGAACTAGAACCATTCAGGTTTAGCTGTCTTAAGAGACTAATAGCTAAACCCAAATGTTTCTAATTCTAGATTTAGTGATGATTCTATACATTTTCAAGTTCAAATTAGCACCAATCAAATTTAAAATGGCAATCAACATCAAATTAACATTCAATAATTTAACAAACCAATCTTTAATTCGTGATTAACATTTTAAATACATAATTTTATACATGGTAATAAACAATATTGTAAACTCAAAAGGTGACATCCTCCATGTTTAAAATAGAGGTGATGTGCTTTTCCAAGTCAAATTCCGGCTATATACCTGTTAGAGTTAGTTATGTACAGGGATCCTTACATTCTAGCGCACAATAACTTTTGTTCAATATCACTTCCCCCAAACAAAAGCCAACTAATAATTTACTAATTAAATTTACTAATAATCAAGAAAATTTTATTTTTTTCAAGTTTCTACAAAAACCATACATTTTAGATATAGGTGTAATGACAAAGGTTTCTTATTTTTCAGCGTACAATACGCTGCTGAAGGAAAAAATTGGGGTTGCCATTTAAAAAAATGAAGTTTTCGACTTTTCGAGATAGGGAAATTCTGTGCAAATTTCTGACCTCCTGTATAATTTTTTAAAAAACTTTTATGGATTATATAAATTACGAGTCCTCTCTGTGTAAATCCTGAGAATATTTAGCTGGACTCGAGTGTAATTTCGAAAAATTATTCTTATTGTCAAGGGTTGCTTCTGCCAAAGTTTTCGAAAAAACTGAAATAATTAAAAAATAATATACCATATTATATTAAAATATAACGGGGATCTCGAAAATTCAATAAAAACTGGTACATTCCATTTAAAATAACGAAGTTGAGGTCCATTTCCGGTATAACCGGAAGTTAGAGAAAACTGAAAATATTTTAGCTGAAACGAGCACCTCTGATAAACGCTATATGCAAATTTTCTGAAAAATAGTGCCAGTAGTTTGTCACATACATATAAACTCAGCTCGTCGTGACAGACACTGTACATTAATTTTTGGAATATTTTGGAATTTTTGCAATTTTTTTGGTGCAATTTTTTCCATCATTTTTAAACGAGTTATGACGTCATCGATATTTTTTTCAAATGGCAATACCCCATTATTGCGGAATATGAAAGAGAATATTGTACTGAATGCAGTACAGTCGATATTAATATTGGTTATATAAGAAAATTTTTGAGAAAAATTACTTTAAAGTTTAACTATTCAAATTTGCTTAACATGATAAAAATAGCAATAGCCAGGGGCAACTATGGTAACCAATCATTTTAAACAATATCCTAAGTGTCAAAAAGTGATTTAGTATAGCTTGTTGAAGTGTGGTGCCACACCATCTTGTTGGAATAACTGCCGTTGGAATTGGGTTTAGTCAACGTTATCGGAAAATCTGGCTGTTATGAAAGGAATGATATCGTTTTGAAAAAATCTAAACATCTCTCTCTAGTTAAGGTTTCTTCAAAAAAGTAATGACCCAGGACAGTATCCCATACTATTTCGCTCCACACTTTGATCTTTTGCGGATATGGTAGCCCAATATCGACAATTTTGTCTATTTATTTGTCTATTTGAATGATATTTTGCGGGTTTTAAAATTTTGTGAACCATTGATTCACTAATGTCCAAATTAACCCCAATACTATTTACTGAATCCTTACAGTAACATGAGGCTTTTCTTGCCCAGCTAAAACTACGTTTTGTTTCCTTGTTTCCTTTACCTCCCCTGCAACATTTAATAGGCCAGACTTCGAGAAATGCTTCAAGGGATGCCGATGGTTTTTAATTTGCTCACAGCTTGGCTCACCACACTTTGGCTAATGAGTTGACAATCAGGATATCTTGCATTAAAGAGGTCAACTACTTACTAAACCATTTTTTGATACTTAAGAAATTGTTTAAAGTGATTGGTTACCATAGTTACTCATTTTTGGCGATAATTGATTCAATGTTCATCGTGGGTTGTAAGTGACAAATAAAGATTCCTTGGGAACGATGAAAAAATTTATTTTTTTATTACAAGAATAATGCAACATGTTTCGAGATTCAAAATCTCTTCATCAGACACGACGTCAATTCTTTACGGAGCATAAAATTGACCATCTGAAAAACTAGTTTTTTAACGATGAAAAAATATTTTTAACTAAACTAACTTGCCATTAAGGCCTTTAAATTTTAGTAATGCCTAGTAATAAAATTTTTATCATGTTATGCAAATTTGAATAGTTAAACTTTAAAGTAATTTTTCTCGAAAGTTTTCTTATGTAACCAATATTAATATTGATTGTACTGGATTCAGAACAAAATCCTCTTTCATATTCCGTAATAAAAATGGGGTATTGCACTTTGAAAAATATATCGATGACGTCATAACTCGTTTAAAATGGCTTTAAAATGGTTTAAAAACAATTAAAATCTGCACCAAAAAATTTAAATCTTTAGACCTGTGTCGGGGATTTTTCGATAACCTGTTTATAACGATTTTATCGCCTATATCCGTTACTTTACGGATATACTGTATGTATAATATTTTCTAATTTTCGAATTTTGTACTTGGTTTGATACAAATTTTCTCGGTCATTTCCCTCCGAAATATTTCTAATTGCATTTGCCAAGTCCGCCTTAACACCTGCTTTCAAAATTGACCAAGCGTGTTCAATTGGGTTTAGCATATTAATTCATGATATCTGATATATCCGATAAAATGCACATTTGCTCCACAACTACCGGCAGCAATGAAAGTACGACTTAGTTTTTTAAACGAGCTTGATTTCGCGAAATAAAGAAATTAAAGTTTGTTTCGTATAAATAAATTATAGGCATGTTTTCATTTTGAAGTTTTCCGCTTCAAAACGTATTTGTTTTAATGTAAACATGAGGCCATCAAGGTGTTGTAGAATACACTCCTCGCTTACATTAAGCTGAAACTCATTTCGTAATATTGTTTGATGATTTTCTTTCCATTTTATGTCTAATAAATAAAATTCGTTTTTGCACTTAAATGGATTTTTATTTAAATTTTTCTCCAACCGGTTTCGCTATATATTTACAGCATCTTCAGGAGCTTACGTCATTTTGTTACAAAAGTGTCCTATAGAATGAGTCATTTGGTATTTCTTTTCATATTTGTACTGTTGAACTACACAGAGAATTTTGTTGAATTATGATTGAAGAGGATTAAAAATTGTGTTAAAAATTGATGTGTCATGCAAATTGTTGTCAAAGTTGATTTTGAATCAACTCAACTTTGTGAAAATCAACTTTAACAACAACTTGCATGATACATCAATTCTTAACACAATTTTTAATCCTCTTCAATCATAATTCAACAAAATCTCTGTGTAGTTCAATAGTACAAATATAAAAAGAAATACCAAATGACTCATTCTATAGGACACTTTTGTAACAAAATGACGTAATCTCCTAAAGATGCTGTAAATATATAGCGAAACCGGTTGAGAGAAAAATTTAAATAAAAATCCATTTAAGTGCAAAAACGTATTTCATTTATCATTTCGTAATGTTTCTTGCAACTGCTTAAGTGTGATTTTAGGATTTTCATCAACTTTAAGTTCAAAGAAACGGTGATGTTCATCTGTAACATTTATTTTACGTTTCCCTTCTCTTGGTTTTTCTTCTTCTTCTTGATTTTTCCCATCTGAACTATTCTTTTTGCAAGATCAAGAATTTTAGGTAAATTGCGCTAGACACAATTCGTATTCTAAATGGCACAAATGTGGTGTTTTTTACTTCCTTTTTCTTAATATAAAGCATTTTGTAGACAATTTATTAACAGAGACTATTTGTAATTGATTAATGCCATTTTAAGTTTGATTAGTGCCAATTTGCACTTGAAATGGTATACTTTTAGTTCCATAAAAATATACAATCTAACGCTGAATATCAATTAAAACTAAAAGTAATTAAATACCTGTAAAGTTTTTCTATCAACATTTTCGATAACATCCGGTTTTGAATCGCGTAAATTTAACACCCACTCTAAAATAGCCTCTTCGTGCATTAAATCGCCAGTGTAAACTTCTCTAAATCGGTTTCGATAAAAAGCCAAAGCGGGTAAAGATGGTAAATCATATTCTTTTTGTATCCCATCATCGGATGTTTTAACGAAATCGATATCCTTTTCTTCACACTCATCGTCGATGTTTTCGAGTTCTTGCAAAATTTTTTGGGCTTTTTTATCCCCTTCTTTATCTAAATACAAAAAATTAATTAAATTTAAATTTCTAATTTTTCATAAAAACTCACAGAAAAATACAACGACGTGTTCATTCTCCCCTAAAATTTTGTCCAACATTCTCGTATTAACTTCTTCGATTCTATCGGGGATCTCCAAAGTATCCTCATCGGTTAACCAAGCTAAAACTTCATCTTCATCCTCGATATCGCCTCCATAAATTAAAGGTTCCTTATTTCTGAAGAAGACCAATTTCGGGAATGATTTAATTCCGTGCTTTTTCGCGAAACTTTGATCTTCCGTTGTAACAAAAATGATTCCGGTTTCATCTAATTCATCATCAATATTTTCTAACTCCTCTAAAATGTTATCGCAATGTTCTCCCGAATCGCATGATCCGCTGAAATAAACCACCACGTATTCGTGTTCTTCGATTAAATCTTCTAAAATTTCATCGGTGACTTCTTCGATTGTTGCAGTCGATTTTTGTTCGATTAACCATTTTAAAACTTCATCTTCGTTCATTAAATCACCTTCGTAAATCGATGGGATTTTATCTTCGAAATAAACTAACGTAGGGAGATGGTCGATTCCAAATTCTTTCGCTTCAGCATCGTTATCGATTCGAACGATTACGATTCCTTCTTTTTCTAATTCATCGTCGATGTTTTCTAGTTCATTTAAAACCCTTATATCTTGTTTATCATCTTTATCGTCTAAAAAAAGACGGATTAAAACAAATTAAGTGATTAAAATAATATTTCTTACAAAATAAAACCGCTAAATATTTCGTTCTTTCAATTAAAATGTCCATCATTTCATCGGTGATATCCGGAATTTCAGAATGTTTCTTTTGATGTAATAACCAACCTAAGAGTTCATCTTCTTTTAATAAATCACCTTCGTAAAGGTGAGGTATTTTCTTTTCGAACAAAACTAACGAAGGGATTACATCAATTCCGTATTCTTTGGCTTCGTTATCGTCGTCGATTTTAACAAAAACAATTCCATTTTGATCGCATTCGTCATCGATGTTTTCTAATTCAGCTAAAATCTTTTGACTTTTCTTTTGGTCTTTATCATCTAAAAAAACGGATTAATAATTTATTTTGATTTAATTTTTTTTTTGTAACTCACAAAATAATACTGCAACATATTGCATTCGCTCCAAGATCATATCCAACATTTCATCGGTGATATCTTCGATTTCATCGCTTTTTACTTGATGTTCGAACCATTTTAATACTTTATCTTCGTCCTCCAAGTTGCCTTCGTATAAAGTGGGGATGCCCTTTTCGAAATAAACTAAAGATGGGATTTTTTCAATGCCGTATTCTTTCGCTTCGTCCGCATTGTCGATTTTTACAAAAACAACGCCCATTTTATCGCATTCGTCGTCGATGTTTTCTAATTCGTTTAAAACTTTTTGTGATTTTCTATCATCGGCATCATCTAATAAAAAGGATAAATATGTTAATAAAAGGTGTTAATAAATTTGGAGAAAATCGTACAAAAAAGTACAGCAACAGTTTTTCCATCTTTAACTAATTTATCCAACATTTCATCGGTAACATCTTCAATTTCGTCTTTTTCAAGTTGATGTACGAGCCAATCGAGGAGCTCGGCCTCCTCTTCCAAGTCTCCATCATAAACGTTGGGTATTCCCTTTTCGAAATAAACCACCGCTGGAATCGAATCGATTCCATATTCGTCGGCACCGCTTGGATCATCGATTTTTACAAATTGTATTCCGTGTTTATCGCAGTCGTCGTCGATGTTTTCGAGCTCTTCGAGGACATTCATCGAATCTTCATCTCCATGATCATCTTAAAAACGAATAATAAAAATAATTAAGTTCCAAAAAACTTAGTAAAAAGGGGTTCTTACAAAAAAGGACGGCCAAATGATCTACGCTATCAATGAGAGTGGACAACGTTTTTAAGGTGACATCTTCGATGATGTCTTCTTCATCGCCGGTGCTTTTATGTTGAACTAACCATTCTAAGACATCTTCTTCTCTCGTTAATTCACCTAAAACGTAAAATAAGATTAATAAATTAGATTTGACATGATTAACACAATCGCGATGATCCAAGAATCTTAGGTTTTAAAATCCAAGGTCTGCAGTTTCAGTGGTTTAAGCGGTTCTGCCCTGCCACTAATAAGGTCAGAACTGCCATTTACGCACCAAAACACGCAAACGCTCACCTGTTGCCTCAGCACACAGGAAGAGACGTTACGTCGATTAGAGTACGATGTACCATCAACCAAAAGGTTAAGGAAATAACGATGGCATCAATATACCTTCCGTATGAAGACCAGCCTCCATCTCAAGGATGGAAAAGCTGGCCGAGGACGCGAGGAAAGGTAACTAGAATGTTGTCATCGCATTCATGCACACTCAACATAATGGAAGATGTAAGTCCCTTCTTGAATTCCTTTTTAGCAGCAATTTAGATATACTTAATCGAGGCTCTAAGCCGACCTTTATAACCGCTAGAGGTCAATCAGTCATCGACATCATACTTGCTTCGATGGATATCTCGTCTTCGATCCACAATTGGACGGTTTCCGACAATGTTTCAATGTCGGACCATAGATGAATTGGAAAGAACTTAAAGCGTAACCCCAGAAGAGAGTGCGAAAGCACATCATCTCGCATGGAACAGCTCAGACACAAACGGGTGAGTACCTTTACCAATACTTACAAAGTACAAATTTAGATATCCTCAACAGAGGTAACGAACCGACTTTTGTTACCAAGAGTCGACAAAAGGTGCTAGAGCTAAGCCTAGCCACGCCTCGCCTCAGTTCGCAAATCGCAAACTGGCATGTTTCACGTGAAATCAATCTTTAGCGGATCACAAGCATATTCGCTTTGTCATTGTAGCAGACATGACAAAACAAACAGAATTCAGAATCCCCTCACTCACTGACTGGTGCTCTTTTTGTAGATACATCAGCGAAGAGGTCGATGAAATCAAAACAAAAATTGAAAGTAGAGAGGATCTCGAAATAGCCTCTTTTCAACTAAACAATCTCATACATAGTGCGTATGAATCAAGCTGTCCAATAAAACACAAAAGAGCACAATCCAATGTGCCTTGGTGGAATAAGGACCTTGAAAAACAGCGAGTCATGATTAGAAGACTATACAGTGTGTCCGTAAGGTAACGGATGTAGGCGATAAAATCATTATAAACGGTTTATGGAAAAAACCCTGAAACGGGTCTAAAGATTTAAATTTTTTGCAACTTTTTGGTGTAGGTTTCAAATTTTTTCCGCCATTTTTAACCGAGTTATGACATCATCGATATTTTTTTCAAATGGCAATCCCCAATTTCTATTACGGAATATGAAAGAGATTTTTTTTCTGAATCTAGTACTGTCAATGTTAATATTGGTTACATACGAAAATTTTCGAAAAAAATTACTTTAAAGTTTAATTACTTCAAATTCGTTTGACATGAAAAAATAGCAGTAGCCATGAATAACAATCGGTTTAATTACAAATAAAAAATAAAATTGACAGTAACCTAAACGATTTTTAAATTCTTCCTGACGATTCTCTAAGATATCAGGAGTTATTCGCTGAACTTTTTCTCGGATTCTGATTTTTAGTTCATCCAAAGTATTTGGTCTAGTGGTATAAACTTTACTCTTCAGATATCCCCAAAGGAAGAAGTCCAGCGGAGTCAAAATCAGGTGATCTTGCAGGCCATTCAATTGGCCCTCTTCTCCGAATCTATTGATTGGGAAATAATTGATTTAAATATGCACGAACAGGAACCGCATCTTGTTGGAAGAACAATTGCCGTTGAAATCGACTTGGGTCAACATCATTGGGAAATCTGGCCGTTATTGAAGGAATGAGATCTGTTTGTAGAAAATTTAAATATCTCTCTCCAGTTAAGGTTCCCTCAAAAAAGTAAGGGCCCAGGATAGTATCCTGTGCTATTCCGCACGACACATTAATCTTTTGCGGATATTGGGTATGCGATTCTCTTGCCCAATGTGGATTTTGGGTAGCCCAATACTGACAATTTTGCCTGTTAACTTGCCCACTCAATGTAAATCTTGCCTCATCGGAAAAAATTATGTTTTTAACGAAATCTTCGTCGTCGTTGTACAATTGTTGCAACTGATCACAAAATTGCGATCTTCTATCAAAATCATCTTTATTGAGCTCATGAATGAGGTTTACCTTACTTCTAGGGATGATATTTTGCGGTTTTTAATATTTTGTAAACCGTTGTTTTACTAATGGCCGTAATATGAGGGTTTTCTTGCACAGCCATAACAACGTTATATTGAGCCTCGTTTGAAACATTTGGTCGCCCAGACTTCGAGAGATCCCGTACATGCCCATGATTTTTAAATTTAGTGACAATGCGGCTTACCGTACTTTGGCTTATGGGTTCATGGTCAGGATATGTTGCATTAAAGAGCTCTACTACTTCTTTTTGAGTTCGAGTTCGATCCCCAATTCCAATCAAACACAGAATTTCTATTCTTTCCCGCTCGGTCAGATGTACCATTTTCATAAATTATCAACGAAAACAAATAAAAGTAAACAATAAACAAAAATTAACTCAAAAGTGATGTAAGAACAGTTTAAATCAGTGCTATAAGAAACAACAAGCTTTACTAAATCAGTGTTTGACACTTATAAAACTTAGACAATTATTTAAAATGATTGGTTACCATAGTTACTCATGGCTACTGCTATTTTTTCTATGTCAAGCAAATTTGAAATAATTAAACTTTAAAGTAATTTTTCTTAAAAAAAAGTTTCTTATGTAACGAATATTAATATTGACGGTACTAGATTCAGAAAAACATCTTCTTTCATATACCGCAATAAAAATGAGGGATTGCTATTTGAAAAAAATATCGATGACGTCATAACTCAGTTAAAAATGGCGGAATTAATTTGTAATCTACACCAAAAAGTTGCAAAAAATTTAAATCTTTAGACCCCTTTCAAGGATTTTTCCATAAACGATCATAATGATTTTATCGAATATATCCGTTACTTTACGGACACATTGTATAATAAAGTCAGGAATTAACAAACATGGGATCTCTATAGAAAAGCCCTAACGGAATATAACTTGGCTATCCGCAAAGCCAAAAGCAAAACCTAGCGCAGCTTCTGTCAAGGTATAGACAATACGCCTACAGTTGCTCGTCTGCATAAGATCTTGGCAAAAGATCACAACACTGATCTAGGCCACCTATGCAAACAAGATGGTAAATACACTGAGGATGCTAAGGACTCGTTGGAGCTCCTACTGAGTACACACTTTCCTACCTCAAAAGTCTGCCCCTACGCAGATGCCGACCCTGGAGTAATGCACATAACCCGTCCATCAGGTAGGGTTCGCAGCACAGCTGGGAACATTTTCACACCCAACAGAGTAAGGTGGGCTATCTCGAATTTCAAGCCCCTAAAATCGCCTGGAGGAGATGGAATTCTGCCTATCTTTCTGCAAAAAGGCTTAGAAGACCTTCTCCCAATAATAATATCCCTATATATAGCTAGCTACAGCTTTAGCTATATACCCACTCTATGGAGGAAAGTAAAGGTGGTCTTCATACCTAAAGGTGGTAGGCGTTCAAACGCGGACCCCAAGGCGTACAGACCAATTAGCCTAACTTCATTTCTCCTCAAAGGGATGGAAAAGGTAATCGATCAATACCTAAGGAATGGAGTGCTTCTCACAAATCCACTCCACCCTAGCCAACATGCTTACCAGAAAGCAAAATCAACAATTACCGCTCTCCATGCTTTGACTAGCACCTTAGAGGAGGCAATTGCAACCAAAGAGATAGCCCTTTGTGCTTTCATAGATATAGAGGGTGCGTTTGATAACACCTCATATGAATCCATAGAGAAGGCTTTAAACGTAAAAGACATACATCCGTCGACAATCAAGTGGTGTATAGCCATGTTGAAAAGTCGGCAGATCACAGCCAGTCTGGGAGGCGAGTCGCTGACTATAAAGGCGCTAAGAGGATGTCCCCAAGGGGGAGTGCTATCACCTCTATTATGGTGCCTGGTAGTTGATGACTTGATGAACACCCTAACTAAAAACGGATTTAAGATACAAGGGTATGCTGATGACCTGGTAATCACAATCCGAGGTAAATATGATTCAATCATAACTCAGCTAATGCAGAAAGCCCTACTACTCACCAGTACTTGGTGCAGAAGCAATGGGCTCAGCATCAATCCCAATAAAATCGAAATAGTCCCTTTCACTCGGAGAAGGAAGCTACAAATAAAAGCACCCTCCATTGAAAGCAGAACTATTAACCTCAAAACAGAAACTAAATACCTAGGGGTAATACTTGACAGTAAACTAAACTGGAACTCACACTTAGATAAGGTGAGGAAAAAGGCCATCATGGCAAACCAGATCTGCCGCAGGCTCCTAGGAAGGAACTGGGGTCTCAAACCACGAATGGCTCATTGGGCCTACGTAGCAATAATCAGACCCATGGTCGCCTACGCCTCATTGGTTTGGTGGCCAAAAACAAAACATAAGACAGCTCAACAACAGCTGGCACAAATCCAGCGGTTAGCATGTCTTAACATAACGGGTGCAATGAGATCCTGTCCGACGGCTGCTTTGGAAGCCCTACTCGGTCTGACACCGTTCCATTTATATATACAAAAGGAGGCAGCCTTATGTGCCGTATCACTGAAATCAGTTTCTTCACTCAAGTTGATGCAGGGTAACCTCAGAGGACACCTTGAGATCCTCAAGGACCCATGTCTAAATCACCTGATTGAAATTAAAACGGGCCTCATACCGACAGAATATAATTTCAACCAGCTGTATAAGGTCATATTTAGAAGTAGGGATGATTGGGCGAAGGGAGGGCCTCAACTAAAAAGAGGAGCCCTAGCCTGGTACACCGATTCTTCAAAGACAGGAAGATCCGGACTAGGCATGGAACTTTCCAGCCTTAAAAATCTCAATGTCACACCAACACTACTATCTTATATTAAAATATGTTATGACGCCACCATAGGCGTTCTTGGTGAAAAGCAGTCACGTTACTAGAACGCCACCGTTGGCGTCACTGGGCGTGAAGGGGTTAAACATAGGATAGCGCTAGGAGCTATCCTATGTTTGTATGAGCTTCGGGCTGGCGATGTTAGTCTCCAAGGAGGAGTTACTCGAGGCTGTCCACAAGGGGGTGTACTATCCCCACTTTTGTGGAACCTCACCCTGGATAGCCTCTTCAAACGCCTCGCTGAAGCCAACTTTACCACAGTTGGTTACGCAGATGATTTAACCATTCTCGTCAAAGGCAACTACATAAACGTGTAAATTTTTGATAGAATGCAAGTAGCTCTCAAATTAATCGAGACTTGGTGTGACGAACAAAGACTCTCTGTGAATCCTAAGAAGACAGAGACTGACACTAATAGTTCAAGGAGACGGGAAGGAGCTGGAGCCGGAGTCTTCTCGTACGATCTCCGACACCACGTATCTCAACCTCTAGATAAAAGTACCACCGTCATACAGGCGGAATTAATCGCCATACAACTTGCCGCTGACGTTATTGTCAGATCCAACTTGGTAGGTAAAACTTTTACAATTTACACTGACAGTAGACAAGCTATTTTAGCCCTGAGTAGAATAACAATTACCTCAGGACTTGTTATAGGTTGTCATCTGACATTGGAGAAGGCCGCAGTGCATAACTGTGTTATACTTCAATGAACAAAAGAACACTTGACTTGTTCAGGTAACAAGCACGCTGATAAGCTTGCCAAAAGGGCTGTCAAGCAAGTTCGCCTTAACCGATAATAATCGCTTCGTCGTTATCAACTCAGATTGAGATAATTAAAGATTTTACCCACAAAACGTTTATGAACTGGTGGGGTAGGGTTAAGAGCTGCCATCTGTCTACGGAAGTATTACATTATCCCTCAGCAGAGGCAGCCTTGTCTTTCGTAAGGCTTGGTAGAAACGCTCTACGAACTGTAACGGGACTCGTCACGGGCCACTGTAAGGTAAACAAGCATCTTTATAACCTTAAGCTTGCTGTTAGTGCTCTCTATCGCCTCTGTGAAGAGAGCGAGGAGACGGTTAGACACATCTTGTGTGAATGCCCCACTCTGCAAGACCTCAGAATGAGAGACTTCGGAGAGGAATGGCAGGATCAGGAACACACCTCTGAGCTGTATCCTAACCTTCGGAAATTCCTTAGGCTGGTTGATGTAGCCAGAGAGAGTGCAGGACGATGTACAAGGGGCCCGTTAGGGCTTAGGTGCTGTATGCGAATCCTCCCCTTTCCTAAATACATAGATTTGACATAAAAAAATACTTTATTACCTTCATAAATAATTGGAATTTGATGTCGATAATAAACCAAAGCTGGTAATAGACCTAAATTATATTCTTCGGCGAGGGCTTCATCGTTGATCTTCACGAAACCAATACCCAATTGGTCCGCTTCGTCATCAATATTCTCCAATTCTTGTAAAACTTTACTGCATTTCTTACATTCCGGTTTATCTAAATAAAAAAAAATGTTTGTATTTTTAATCACAACAATTTTAATCCCGTTTTTCTTGTTTTAAATCAACAAGATGATCTACGACATACCAATAATATAAACTACCACATGCCAAAACGGCAACAACCTCCAAAAACACGTTCTAACTCGCCTACGTGACTCAAAACTTAATCAAAAAAAATCAAATGGGAAAGGATTTTAATGTATGTTTTAAACAATTTCTTTTATTGTGGTGTGTTTTAATGTATGGGATATCGTAATATATGTAACTTTTCTTCAAACGTTTCAAAAATTGATTTAAAAATTGACTANAATCAGACCCATGGTCGCCTACGCCTCATTGGTTTGGTGGCCAAAAACAAAACATAAGACAGCACAACAACAGCTGGCACAAATCCAGCGGTTAGCATGTCTTAACATAACGGGTGCAATGAGATCCTGTCCGACGCCTGCTTTGGAAGCCCTACTCGGTCTGACACCGCTCCATTTATGTAAACAGAAGGAGGCAGCCTTAAGTGCCTTATCACTGAAAACAGCTTCTTCATTCATGTTGATGCAGGGTAACCTCAGAGGACACCTCGAGATCCTCAAGGACCCATGTCTAAATCACCTGATTGAAATTAAAACGGACCTCATACCGACAGAATATAATTTCAATCAGCTGTATAAGGTCATATTTAGAAGCAGGGATGATTGGGCGAAGGGAGGGCCTCAACTAAAAAGAGGAGCCCTAGCCTGGTACACCGATGCTTTAAAGACAGGAAGATCCGGAGTAGGCATGGGCATCAGTGGACCAAATAGCCACATCAAATTGCCCCTCAGGTCGGACATAACAATTTTCCAAGCAGAAGTTCTTGCTATAAACTTCTGCACCGCTTTGAACCTACAGAAAGGACAAAAAGGTGCATCCATAAACATTTTCACAGATAGTCGGGCCGCCTTAAAGACAATTCAGGCCTACACATGTGACTCCACATTGATCAGAGAGTGTACAAGCAACCTGACTGTGGGATCGCTACATTAGAGATTTCTGTCTTCCAACTAAACCAGTAAATCCTAATCAACACGCTTACAGTCAGGGTAAGTCCACACTAACGGCTCTTCACTCAGTGACCAGCTTTATTAGTGGAGCGCTGGACCTAAAGGAGTCCGCCCTGGGTGTTTTCATAGATATAGAGGGAGCTTTTGATAAAACAACTTTCTCTAGTATTAACGATGCCTTGTTATAGGCATCTAAAATGTAAAATGTTCCACCGATCTTTGTAGTTGGATTGAGAATACGGTTAACCCCTTCACGCCCAGAATTAAATTGAAAATAATCTCTGCAACACTAACTTGAGCCTTAACTTGAACTTTCCAGCCTTAAAAATCTCAATGACACACTAACACTACTATCTTATATTAAAATACGTTATGACGCCACCATAGGCGTTCTTGGTGAAAAGCAGTCACATTACTAGACCGCCACCGTTGGCGTCACTGGGCGTGAAGGGGTTAAACATAGGATAGCGCTAGGATAGAGCTTCAGGCTGGCGATGTTAGTCTCCAAGGACGAGTTACTCGAGGCTGTCCACAAGGGGGTGTACTATCCCTACTTTTGTGGAACCTCACCCTGGATAGCCCCTTCAAACGCCTCGCTGAAGCCAACTTTACCACAGTTGGTTACGCAGATGATTTAACTATTCTCGTCAAAGGCAACTACATAAACCTGCAAATAAACGTGTAAATTTTCTGTTTGCTGTTAGTCCTCTCTATCGCCGCTGTGAAGAGAGCGAGGAGAAGGTTAGACACATCTTGTGTGAATGCCCCACTCTGCAAGACCTCAGAATGAGAGACTTCGGAGAGGAATGGCAGGATCAGGAACACGCCTCTGAGCTGTATCCTAACCTTCGGAAATTCCTTAGGCTGGTTGATGTAGTCAGAGAGAGTGCAGGACGATGTACAAGGGGCCCGTTAGGGCTTAGGTGCTGTATGCGAATCCTCCCCTTTCCTAAATACATAAATTTGACATAAAAAAATACTTTATTACCTTCATAAATAATTGGAATTTGATGTCGATAATAAACCAAAGCTGGTAATAGACCTAAATTATATTCTTCGGCGAGGGCTTCATCGTTGATCTTCACGAAACCAATACCCAATTGGTCCGCTTCGTCATCAATATTCTCCAATTCTTGTAAAACTTTACTGCATTTCTTACATTCCGGTTTATCTAAATAAAAAAAAATGTTTGTATTTTTAATCACAACAATTTTAATCCCGTTTTCTTGTTTTAAATCAACAAGATGATCTACGACATACCAATAATATAAACTACCACATGCCAAAACGGCAACAACCTCCAAAAACACGTTCTAACTCGCCTACGTGACTCAAAACTTAATCAAAAAAAATCAAATGGGAAAGGATTTTAATGTATGTTTTAAACAATTTCTTTTATTGTGGTGTGTTTTAATGTATGGGATATCGTAATATATGTAACTTTTCTTCAAACGTTTCAAAAATTGATTTAAAAATTGACTATATAATATATACTTAGTCACATAAAAACGCATCACCTAAAATGATGACCACTTTCAAACTGCAATAACTTTTGAACGTATTGCTGGATTTGACCTTCCCCATTTTGGCGCTATTTAATTTCAGTAATGGTGAATAACGCTAATGCGTGTTATCTTCTTAAGCGGCCCATACACGATGACTCTTGGGGCGGTGACGCCAGAGCTGCCGTAAGAGTCGTTGCATGCGACGGATTTTAACGGCCTACACACGTAGACTCTTGTGGCGTCGTGCCGCACTTCTTTAACCGCTATCGACGGACCTATACCAATGCATATCTGGCCAGACAATAGCCAAGAAATTGGCTGCAGAATACCAATACTACTTGCAGAAGACTAAATACTTCCTATAGAGGACAAATACTACCTATACAATACTAGAAACTGCTTAAAAAGATAGATATCGTCTATAGAAACCTAAGTACTGCTACCAATAGACTACAAATTGGTTGCAGAATACCAATACTACTTGTAGAAGACTAAATACTGCCAGCAAAAGGCTAAAAACTCCTTGCGGAAGACAAATACTACCTATACAATACTAGAAACTGTTTGCAGAAGATAGATATTGTTTATGGAAGGCTAGGTACTGCTACCAATAGCCAAGGAATTGGTTCCAGAATACTAATACTGCTTGCAGAAGACTAAATACTTCCTATAGACGATCAAAAATTCCTTGCGGAAGACAAATACTACCTATGCAATACTAGAAACTGCTTAAAAAGATAGATATTGTTTATACAAGGCTAGGTACTGCTATCAATAGACTACAAATTGGTTCCAGAATACTAATACTGCTTGTAGAAAATTAAATATTGCTGGCAGAAAGCTAAACACTGCCAGACAATTTTACAAGCTCATTTATGGCGGTAGTTTTTCAGTTCCTGTTGATGTAATTTTTTCATTTTGAGTCCCATAAACATGGGTACATTTTATATAAGTTTATACATTTTTTCCAAAAATCTTTTTCGGCGAACGATGCCATTTCGATGGACGTTGGAAATAAACTAAAGCGATACTTTCGGTGTCGTATGCACGTCGCAATCCCATACACGTTGACTCTTGCAAGGCGCCGGAGCCTGCCACGGTCTTGAATCCGTCGCCGTCGCCGCTGCCGATGCCGTCGCATGAGTCCTGGCGCTTCCCTACACACGATGCTTCATGCGGCTCGACTCTTGGCGTCGCTGCATGCGACGCTGCGAGAGTCGTCGTGTATGGGCCGCTTTACACTTTGAAACTTGCTGTGAGGAGCACCGACAAAAGAAATTAATTTTAAACATAGGAGCTTGTGATCTCATCTGTTCTGATCACTTCTGTTTTTTGTTCAAGTTTTTATTGTTGTTAATACCAAAGTTACAAGCTCTAAAGGATATCGCAGCGTGTTCGGCAGCATCATCAGAAATTAAAACAAGTGATGGATGTGGATGAAATTTAATTAAACTGTGACAAGTAAATTAGAGAAAATGTTAATAACGGGTATTTCCTCCCCTCGCTTGAATGGATACTATTCAAGCGAGGGAGGAAATCCTTCGAATCAGGTTTTGAATATCATTTTGGGGAATTTAGCGTTTGTATAGCGGCACCAAGGGGTCTAACTGATTTCCCTAGCATATCCCACATGTCTTCTATGGGGTTTCAATCAGGGCTACGTGCAAGACATTCCATTCTACTAATATCCAAATCATCCAGGCATTGGCACACTATACGAGCTGTATGGCAGCGTGCATTATTGTGCATGAACAAGAAGTTATTACCAATAAATGGGCCGAAGGGAACTACATGATCAGCCAAAATTATTTATGCACTTTCTATTCAATGAAGTCAATGTCTTAACTACTTTTCTGTGATTTTATAACTTTGCATGATGTTATTTTGTATCAAATTTAAAGGTTATTACTTATGGTATTTCCGCCAAATCATGATTTGCTTGAAATGTCTGTTCGGGGCTAGTTGTCATAAAAACCCCGCGGATGGTAGTCAAGCGTGACAACCAACGCCGGAATTTACTTTAAATGTTTTTTCAGGTAAAGATGGTTAGGAATTCTTAAAAAAAAGACAAACTGAGGAGAAATTGCTCCAGGCATCAGTGAGAAAAGAGGGGTGTGGCGAACATCTGGACGCCAGAGAACTTTCTAAACCGTTCAAAATATCTTTTTCCGGTTATCTGGGCAGGACACCCTTTTGGTCCAGGCAAAGGGTTCCCGGAAAGCTTTCACCGGAGATGTTACTGGACGCTCTCCGTGGCGAACATCTGGACCCCAGAAAGCGTTCGAAACTATTCAGAAGAACTCTCTCCGTACATCTGGACAGCAGATCCTTTTGGTCCAGACAAGGACTCGAAGAAAACTTTCACCGGGGATTTTACTGGACTCGGGGTTAAAAGGAACCAGGATCGGTCCGGAGAGATCAGTTATCAATTACCATCTTACCGGTCGCGTTATGGTTTTGATCAGGAAGGGTTGCCTGAAAAGGTTCGAAACGCGTCTACACTTTTGTTATTATTGTTGTTTTTTTGTAAATAAAATTTTGTCGTTGAAGACATTGGTTTTCCTGAAACTTCCTCTTGCTACTATCAAAGCATTAGCCCCGCAAGGGCTATCAATTCGTAAAGTTGCAGCTGATTATCAAATCAACTATCGAACTTTAGTAAAATATTGCAAGAAAATTTCTCAGGGAGAAATCGACGATGAAAAGAGTCCAGTTTTCGATTATCGTTGGTTATTTTCCAAACAGAAAGATTTTTCCTGATAACGTTGAGAATAAGAATTTAAAGATTATATTCTTCAAGCTGCGGATATTTACTGTGGTTTAACGCCAAAAGAAATTAAAATCCTCGCTTATGATCTTTGTGTTGCAAATATCATAAACGCTTCATAGTCACTGCGCTTCTAGGTTCTAATGGAACTGCAACTAAATCCAGGTGGATGCAAGAAGCCGATTTCGTCCTATTTCTACAACATTTCCATGAGGACGCGAAAAGCACACCTCAGAAACCATGCCTGCTTCCTCTTAATAATCATGGTTCCCACTTTAGCATAGAAGGGCTCAACTTTGCTAAATCAAATGGAATCATCATTTTATCGTTTCCTCCGCATTGTTCACACAAGCTCCAGCCACTTGACCGCACTGTTTATGGACCATTTAAGAAATTTTATAACTCTGCTTGTGACGATTGGATGATTAATAATCGGGGAAAATCGATGATCATTTATGATATTCCACAGCTCGTTTCACGCGCATATCCACTTGCGATGACTTCAACTAATATTTTATCAGGATTTCGATGCACGAGAATATATCCAATCAATCGTGACATCTTCACCAATGTGGATTTTGCACCAAGGTATGTCATCGACAGAGAGCAGCCTGAAAACCAGCTTCCAGAGAAGCCTCCAGACAGCTCATTTGAACCTCAACCAGGGCAGGGCAATGTATGCAAGTCATCTGTTGAAGACAGAAAAAACAGTCGAAAAAGAGAAGCAGAAATTTTAACGGATACTCCAATAAAAAGGAAACTGGAAGAGTAGGCGAAGTGTTTGTTTAATGATGCAAAAGTGAAACAAAAAACAACAAAGAAATATTTGTTCAAGAATGCAAAAATTAAGAAAGGAACAACAAAAAAGAAGGAGAATCAAATGTCGAGCATCAATGAAGATGAAGACTGTTTAATTTGTTTAGAACCGTATTCCAACAGTAAATCCAGGGAAAATGGATTCAGTGTGTACGAGCAGTGGTTCTCAACCGCCGTTCCGTGGAAGACCGGTATTCCATGAACCTTGTTCAGATGTTCCGCGAAATGATTAGAACGCGCCCAATTCCGATCACCAATTTGCCCGGCAAGATCGACGCGACGGAACTGTCCAAAAGCGTAGAAAACTTTCTTAAACGAAAATTTGGTAAAACTAATGAAGAATCAACTTCAAGCTATAGTAATAAAAACATTCAACCAACGAATGAACCAAAACGTACTACAAAATCGACGACACGATAATATTTAGATGAATATTTGAATTTTGGATTTACCTGGTCTGGAAGTAAAATATCTGGGAATCAGATTCCAAAATGTATGTGGAGAATAACTTGCAAATAATGCAATGGTTCCTCTGAAATTAAACCGTCATTTTTTTTCCAAAACAATAATTTATCAACTAAAAATAAGGAGTATTTTAAAAGATTATTAAAAGCAAATAAAGAACAAACAAAACATTTTCAGAAGACAGTTACAGTTTCCGACAAGGTCCAAATACATGGCCATGCGTCGTATAAAGTAGCGGAACTAATCGGACTGAAGCAGAAACCGCGTAATTTGGCAGAAACTTTTATTTTACCTGCGTGTTTGGTAATTGCAAAGATTATGTTTGGTCCTGAGACACAGAAAGAAATTGCAAAAATTCCTTTTTAGGATGATACAGTTAAGAGGAGAATTATAGATGTGTCACAAGTTTTCGAAAAACAAGTTGCTACTAAATTAGAATCCGGAAGCAGTTTTGGGTTGCAGATTGATGAATCTACTGATATAAGTGGCAAAGCTCAGTTAATAGGATTTGTTCGTTTTATAGACGAACATGAAATAAATCAGTTTTTATGCCGCAGAGGTCAGTTCTCTGCAGCATAAAAATTGTACAACAGGCCAAGATATATATGACAACATCAA